TATATATACAACATACTTATATCCATCAAAAAACATACTCATAGTGTTTGATAATGGACTGGTAACTCGTTCAGCATAAGCATGTGGGTGATAGTAACTATAACAATTATAGGCCTATATATTCAAACTTTACTTAAAAATGATATAGTTAACACACAATTTCTGTTAAAGTCTTGTGACTATACGTTGCATTAATCAGGAGGACATACACAGGGTTAAAATAGATTTACCCTTGACAACTTATCGTTAGCAATTTCATTAACAACTATAAGTAATGCAGAGTCGGATGCAGTAGGTGTAGACGTTGCGATCGCCCCCCCCCCACCCCCAATAATAATTGCATATTGTATTGCTGATATGAATTACCGATAATATTTTTAAGGTATGAGAGTGCAATTTCCAGACACCTAGAGGTCCATATTCTCAAAATGTTTTCCCGTTAATCCCAACCATGGTGGGGCTGAGGGGGTGTGGTCTCTCACGCACCCCTACCGCCAAATTCTGCATCCGCCCCAGAAGTATAGGGCCTAATATTTTAGTATTCATTGAAAGAGAAAATATTTCTTGGCCAATTGAGATGTTCGTTTTGTTTTGTTTAATGTCAATTCAATTTAATTTCGTTCATTCAAGTAAATATGTCCTCATACTTTCATAATTGTGTAGTATGTAGCCTACACTCTCTGTTGAAATGCTTTACTTAGATAAACGCATAATTATCTGGCCCGGGATTTATCAATCTCAACTTAGCAAATGTATTAAGTCAAAAAAAGTTGAGATGTCCCTAAACAAATATCTTATTAAGCTGATTAATCTTGGCTTCAAAGTCGTCTTAGATGGCGTATGCGAAAAATCGACTATTTAATTTTAAGCAATTTTTAAGCTAAACAGTATTGATAATTTTGGCTTAAGTAAAGAAATGGACTTAAGACGAATTTAAGCTGATACTAGTTTGATAAATCTGGCCTATCAATACAACTAAGTAAATTAACAAAAGATTCAGAATTATAAAACCGAATAAAAGATAGATATTTCTTTTTCAAATCATCACATAAAGTGTATGTGAACACAAAGTGAGATTCATCTAGTCTTCAATTTGCTCTTTTAACATATTAAACAAATTCTATTTTCTTTTAAATTTTCTCTCCCTTTTTCAATAAGTAAATTGTGCGAAGATGTATGATAACATGTTTAAGATGGTCATGTGATACAAGTTTAGTTTAAGCTTTTGGTTGTTTTAGTGAAAAAAACAACAGTGTTTAATGGTCATTGCAAATTGTATTACAGGCAGTATATCTTAAATATGATCAGTTCAATCACGTGTAATGGGCCTACAACAGCAATGCGATTGCTTCACAACTAGGTGTTGCATTTAGATCTGTCGTAGTTTTTATAAGCTTCGTTGACGGGTCCTCTGGAAAAGCAAAGTGCCGCTGTACGGTCGCATTCACAGATTTCAGCAGCACACACTTCGTTCACCTTTATCCAAGGATACGACTTTGCAGGGTCTGTAATAAAATGCACGTAGTTAGTGATAATTTTAGTAATTAATGTGTATCCATCAGTCAAGCGGAGGCTGAAAACTAATGACACTTCTGAATATATTCTAAGCAAAAAAATTAAAAAAAATTAAAAAAAAAATTAAAAAAAAAAATCTACCCAAGTACTTTAAGATCGTAAAATGTAGAACAGCTCAAAATTTCCCTTATCCACAGCTCTTTTGTTATGTCCCACACGCCATGACTCCTATGTTGTGATGACAGTCACGTGTGTTCGTTATGATATGACGATTGGTGACAATGGATCTTTCTGGTGTGTACATGAAACTTAACCACCAAGTTATCACAGGTTATTTTACGATGGGTCAGGAATACGCGCATGTCCCACAAAAACACAAGTTTACGATTGCACACTCAGTCATGATTCTCTACAATTTTTCAGTGGATCTTAACATTATCCAATGAGATGGGCTTAGTGGAACGGTCCGTTATGTCGTGATAGTTTTTGGTGTTTTTAAAAAATACTATTTAACGACGGATCTATACACAGAAGCTGATTTTGATCTTGGAGACTAAGTCAGTTTTAATGTTGAGAGCCATTATGACTCATAATGAATTCGAAGGCGAACATCTCAACCCCCAACTTCTCGAAGTGTAGATGATGATGATATTATAGGGAGCTTTCGATTTGCGCTACGACGCGACGCTAGAACAGATTCACTCAAGCGTGAACGTCCTACTGGGCGTCCACGTTCTCTGATTACGCAGATTTGGCCAACGTATATCCTAGATTCCACGCGGCCACGAGAACTCAACGTTCTCGCATGCGCAGACGAATTTATGTGACGTCATTACGTTCTACGTCCTTCTACCGTCGGCGTCGTGCAATCGAAAGCTCCCTTATGTTTGCGACGACCAACACTAATGATGACGAGGATGATATTGATTCGATGACGATTTTAGTGATGATGATGTTGATGTTGCTCTTGTTGTGTTGATGATGATAGTGATGATGGTGGTGATGCTAATGGCGATAGTGATGGCGATGATATTGAAAGTAATATGACAATCATATCTTTACCACGATGGCGATAATGATATTGTAAGATGCATGATGATGCACCTAGACTGGGTTTATCTCACTTACTACAATATATGTCAGCATTGATGGTACCGCATTCTGAACATTCGTAGCGATAACGCACGACGTACGTGAATGATGAAGATGGACACTGATTCTTAGTTACCGCCTTCTCGTAACAAAGATCATGTTCTTGACAACATCTTTAATCAAAGAGTATACAAGATTTAATGTGTTTAATTCGATTAAATTTATCTTTAGGGTAACATTATTACATTATATAGTATCTCTGGTTTAAAAACGTATGACTTGCAACTGAACATTAATTATAATATGTATACATTATGCCCTCCGTTTGCAAATATACAAGTA